CTGGAGGTCAGAGGCAGCACCCCTAAAGTCCCAAGGGCATTCCAGCCTGAGCTGCCCCTTTGCCTCGGCACTTAGCAGACCCGCTAGGGCATTGCCATTTTAATCTATGGCCAAAGCAAAAAGTGCATCAGATTTCATACCTGTGTGAAAGGCTCTGCAGTGAAACATCTTGCAGTGTTTCCCTCAGCTCTGACAGGGATGGTAGGCTGGGGTGTCAGATTCAGGTTTTTAAGAGGCATGCAGATTTTTCCCTCACCTGTTTTGAATTACTAACATGGAAACAGAGTTTAAGAACAAAGAAAAACTCTGAGGATTAGATCTGCTGTCTGACCTCTGCCTGCTTCACAGGAGCTCATCACCATGTCTGGACCTCACTGTACCCTGGGCCATGCTACTGCCACACTGGTTCCTTCAGTTCTTCACGTGCTCCTTGCTCCTTCCAGCCACAGGGTCTTTGCATAGATGGCTTTCTTCACTTGCAACTCTCTTGTCTCTCTTTCTTCACTCACTGCTCTCTCCCTTTGCCTAGTTAATTTCTCTAGGTCCTCACATCTTGGTTCAAACTTTACTCCCTCTGTCCAATCCCCTATTAAAGACACCCTGCCTCTAAGAACTTCCAGTCACTCTTGCTAGGCAGACGCTCTACCTCTTGAGCCACACCGCCAGCCCCCCCCACTTTTTTTTTTCCAGTTAACATTTATCTCCCCACCAAACCGTAAACACTGTGATGGTGGTTCCCCACTGTTTCCTCAGTACCTCCAACACAATGCCCATCATACAGTAGGTACTTAATAAGTATTAGATATTTAATAAATGAGCCTCTTGATTTCCCTCGTCTTGCTCTCCTGCAGATTTGCTTTTCTCAAAAGAGTTCATGGTAACTTGAGAAGTCTTCTAATATCAATGCCATGCTGCAGGTTTAACTCAGGTAGTAGGAAAGGATCATGGAGTCAATGACTAAAATCACCCCTTTGTTTTTCTTCAATGAAAAGAGTGGAAAACCTAGCACCAATGGTGCGTATAGGTATCCATAGGCCATACCGTATGCTTTTAGTTTTAGGGCCAATTCCAGAACTGGTTACAGTTAATTTAATTGATAAAATAATAATTCATTGCAATAGCTGATGAATTTTCAATCTCTAGATGTTTCAATGGTGCCCTCATCTTATTAAAAAACAAATCAGCACTCTGTGGTCTAGGTGGTGCTAGTGAATAGATAGCATAAATCTTGGATTCTGCATAATTTTTATATTCAGGTTAAAACTGCTTTTTTAAAGTATATGCCTGGCATCTTGGAAATCTAAAAGCATTTACCAAAACTAGACTGGACTGGATATTGGAACAGTAGGTGTCCAGGGAGCTCTGTAACATTTGGTGTTTGGGGAGAACAACATGGATAAAAGGTGATCTTAGGAAGTGGCAAAAAACTTTGAAACATTATGTCCTTTATGTGAAAATGGAAAAATGAGTCCTGTTGAAACTATTCTAATAATAGTGGGAAAAGGAATAAAAGAGAAAGATGGAGGGGTGAATTTAACTAAGATATATTGTAATAAGCACTTTTGTAAATGTCACAATGTACCCCCAGTACAACAATAATATGGTAATAAAAAGAATTTTTAAAAACCTGAAGAAAGCAGCTAGAAAATCAGTAAGTGATTACTGATGTTTCAGAAGGCATAAAATTTTTGTTTGTTTGTTTGTGTTTTGGTGCTGGGGATCTCACCCTGAGCCTGAAGCATACTCAGCATGCACTCTACCACTAAGCTACTTCCCCCCAGCCCCTAAAGTACATTTTTGTTTTTTTTGCAGTACTGGGGTTTGAACTCAGGGCCTATACCTTGACCCACTCCACCAGCACTTTTTTGTGATAGGTTCTTTCAAGATAGGGTCTTGGTTACTGTTTTCTGGGGTTGGATTCGAACCATGATCCTCCTGATCTTTGCCTGCTGAGTAGCTAGGATTACACTGGTGCCCAGCTTGAAGTATTTTAAAAGATCTGTTTCATACTTGAAATGATTTCTTCTCCCCCAACTGTTTGTTTGTTTTGGTAATTAGGTAAGAAAAGATATGAACGACAACCAAGTGCTTATAGCATTAAAAGGCTGATTTCTTTTCTTGAACGAAATAAAAGGCAGCCAACTATCCCTCACTCTAAGGAGACCACAAATTAGTAGAAGTACTGGTGAAGACACTGGATCCCAAGAAGAGTTGAACCACTGGAGTGCCAGAGCCTGAAACTTACTGTGAAAAAATTTTTTTACAGGAGTGAATTCTGCTGATTCTGAAGAAAGTCAAGATCATAAATACTAGTAATTGAAAATATTTGAGGGCTATGAGAGTGGTATCTAATTGCATCTGGGAGTTTAGACTTTGATTTATAATCATATTATGATTAAAATATCCTAAGTTCTTTAAAAAAAATATTTGGAGTGGGGAGGGCAGACATGGTGGTACATACCTGTTGTCCCAGTTACTCAGGAGACAGAGGCAGGAGAATTGAGAGTTCAAGGCCAGCCAGGGCAATGCTAGTGAAACCCTGCCTCAAAACCAAAATAAAAACAAAAAGACTGGGGCATAGCTCAAATGGTAGAGCACTTGCCTTGCATGGGGCCCTGAGTCGAATCCCCAGTACTGAAAACATGAGAGAGAGAGAGAGAGAGAGAGAGAGAGAGAGAGAGAGAGAGAGAAACAGAGAGACTGGGAAAGTTAGCCTTTCATGTTACAAGGTTAGTCACATTACAGCATAATGTCTTACAAAAATAAATTGCATCTGGAGAGGATTTTTGCACCCAGTGCTGGGAAGGGAAATGAGATATTGTGTGTTGGGTAAGAAATTCAGGTGCTCTACAGAGTGAGTCCAAAAAGTACTGCGTCCCAGGGTATTCACACCTGTCAAGGGTCTTGGGCAGGGAGCTAAGAGAAATGGCCAGAGAAGATACCTGCCCCATGCCAGGGAGTGTCTCTGGCCAGCACAAGACAGGAGGGTTGATTTCATTTCAAAGCAGCAAGTTCAGTAGCTGCTCCAGCAGGATAAGGGAAGTGCAAGCTCGCAAATTCTTTGGGTTAGGATGTTTATGCTTGTCCTCTCTCCTTGCTTGATGAGAAGTAACTAATTCTTTACTAGTAACAGAAGGTAGCAGGTTAAAACTCAAGGTAAACCTGGAACTCATCTAGTCTAATACACTTAGATTTGAAAGGTAAAAAGAAAAATAAAACGACAAAAATGTAAACAATTCTTTCCAACCTATTTCTATATATATGATTAAATCTCAGTGTGGGGACTGATAACATTTTAGACTAAATGAGATCACTGATGTGAAGACTTGAGTGAAGAAGGACTGGTGCACACTAACCAGGCCTGCTCAATATGCATGCTTCCAGCTCCCTGTCTGGAACAGCTCCCAGAGACTAAGACAGGAGTGAGAGCTCTCCTGGAAGTGGCAGCCTAATATGTGCTCCCTTTGTACTGTGATAAACAAAGCATTTGCAAGTGGGAGTTCACTGTTGGGGCTCAAAGGCACCTTCTGGGAGGTACAGATTGTCCCAGGAAATGAAAGCTAACCTGATGGAGTGGAAGATGTTGACATTGAGCACACATTTTTCTTCATTTTGTTAATTAAATGTTAAAAGGAGAATTTTCTAGGAATAAATCAACTGTAGATATGAAAAACTTCTTGGATCCAGACATGATTCTTTGAAGGGCACCTCTTGCTGACTTAATGCTTGCAAGCACACCCTCATTTCACGGTGCAGGCTCTTGGTCTCCTATGCTTTATGTAACACAGTTTCTATGGGGAAAGAGAAAGTCATGATTGGAAAGAGGTAGAGTGGAGGATAGAACTAAAAGACATCAGTGGAAAATCCACAGCATTCTTTCCAGTAAATGTAGTCCCTTAAGGACAGGCTCCTTCCAGAGCTTACCTTGGTGATCTACACTGAATGTGACTTTTCCAGCCTGTGTGAACAGGGGATGTGGTTCACTTGCTCTGCAGCAGCCCCTGGAGGAGGAATGTGGTGTCCTTGTCCCCAAAGCCTCCCTCAAGGAGTCCTTGGTATTCATCAAGCAGCTCCTTCCTCAGGGACTCACTGTCACCTACAACACTTTTGTTCAACATAAAAGAATGTCTGCTCTGGGCTATAGGCCTAAGCTCTGTCCCTCCATGGATGGCTGAGCTCTCACTTCCCTTCCTCTTCCTTAGTTAGGCAAACAGACAACAACCCTCAGTCCTTAGTGCAAACCACCACACTCATTTAACATCCCATTTTCACAGCCCTAAGGTAATAAAAATATAAAATATTTTCCACTGCAGGGTCATTTCATGGCTGAGAGTCCTTCTTTTACAGAGCAATAGATAAGACTAACATGAGCACCCTATTGTGCCCAGAGAAGTCTCCCTTTCTCAGTTTAAAACTTCAAGCTGACTGGGGATGGCTTCTGTCTGGGGACCTACATGCAGCTGTCAGTGCCAGGTCATATGCCAGGATCCCTCTCAGCTCCTGTTCCCATCACTAGAGATTTGTCCTTCCTTCCCACCATGTGCTCTGGTTACCACCCAACCTGCAGGTAGACTCACACACTCGCTGGGCATCCCCTACTTTAAGCAGTTCTGGATTGCAAGGCAGCATAATTTTGCTTTTTTCCCCCTTACTCTGCTTAACTTTCATTTCTTCCTTTCATATCTGAAAAGCTCCCTTTGAAGTAAGGTGTCTGCTGTAGCAGAGATATACCTTTGTCTGTCTGAGTTGAGCAATATCATGATTCTCCAATGTAGAATCTTATCATTAATAGCATTATTTTTATGTATCCCTGTGTTTGGGGTACATAAATATATACAAATACTAAAATATATGTAGCAATTTGTAGCATCACACTGTGGTTTGAGAATAGGTTGGTTCTGAAGTTTGGTTGATGAATTTGTTTCTTCTCCATTGCTGTTACTAAAATGTGAATGTTGAATGTAAGCTCCAATTTAACACTGTTTTCACTCTTTCTGCAGCACCGGAAATTCTCAGAGGCTGTGCCTATGGACCTGAGGTGGACATGTGGTCTGTAGGAATAATCACCTACATCTTGTAAGTGAAGAAAAGCAATCTTTATGCAAACTGTTTGCCCCTGCATAACATTTTCTGGGTATCAGTAGTTCTCATAAAAACCAAGATTACTGTTAGACTTTTTCTGATTTTCTATTCATATTAAATGTAATTAGTGATAGAATTTTCTCAAAATGAATATTGCTTTTTTACTTTGTAATTTTCTTAAGAATAGAACTTTTGTCTGGAACTTTTCTGTATTTCATTTTTTATGTAATGTACAGCAGATTTGGGAAACAATTCACATTCTCTTGTTTTGTTTGCTTGCACCTTGTCTAAAATAGATTATTAGTCCTTTTGAGGGAGAAAATAACTATTTCTTAACCAATTACAAACTGATACACTTTTTTCTTTTTTTTTCTTCATCAATGCTAGGGTTTGAACTCAGAGCTTCACAGTTGCTTAGCAACCACTTGAGCCACACCTCCAACCCTTTTGCTCTGGTTATTTTAGAGATAGGGTCTTGCTTTTTGCCCAGGCTCACCTGGACCACAATTCTCCTATTTTACACTTCCTGCAGTTGCTGGAACGATAGGTCCATGCCACAACACCCTGCATTTTTCTATTGAGAAAAAAAAGGTCTTGAGAACTTTTTTTGCCCAGGCTGGCCTAGAACAGTGATCCTCTGGATTTCAGCCACTTGTGTATCTGGGATGACAGGAGCACACCACCAGTACTCAGCTCAAACTGGTACATTTCTTATCATAATATTTTAACTATATTTTGGCTATCAATTTTGTTTTGTATCTGTTAGGTTTTCAAGGACCTTGGGTTTAATATCCTATATAAATTTGTCTCAGGGGAAAAAAATCAGCTAAATATTTTACTGTCTGGTATCTCAAACTAGATTACTGAGCTACTGTCTAATAAAAAATAAAAAGTTTCAGGAAATTTGCCAACTTGATGGTGGAATTGCAAGTAATAATGAGGAAAATCATAAACCAGGAGAGTGTCTGGAAGATTACTGTAGAAAAACTAAAATGCAAGATATCAGTGAGTTCAAGAGTTTAATCCAAAACGAGCACATTGGTTTGCCATTTAGAGGGTAATGCAGAGTTAGTTTTTTGGAATCCATAATATTCAAATCTATAAAAAGATTTTAGAGGGTTCCAAAGAGAGTGTTTTAGTCTTACTCAAGCTGCTAAAGCATTATACACAGAGTGGATGGCTTAAATAACAGACATTTATTTTCCTCACAGTTCTGGAGGCTGGAATCCAAGATTAGGGTGCTAGTATGGTTGGGTTTTAGTGTGGGATCTCTTCCTGGGTTGCAGAAAACTGTTTTCTCACTGTGACCTTACATGGCAGGGGGAGAGAGAGAGACAGAGACAGAAAATGAGAGAGAGAGAGAACTGTCTCTTCTCATAAGGGCAGCACTCTAAGGACTGTATCTAAATCTAATCACCTTCCTAAAACTCCATCTCCAAATACCATTATATTAGGTGTTATAGTTTCAACTCATAAATTTTGGAAGGGATACAATTCAATCCATAGAAGAAAGAGTTGTTTTTGTTTTGTTTGCTTTGCTTTGCTTTGTTTCCTTTTGTTTTCAATAGTGATCTCATAAAGTGCAATGTCCAAGCCATATGGGTTAGGAATGAAGTAACTTTGGGAGAACCTTCAAGCAAGTTAGTGAACTCTAAGTTCACCCAGATGTAGACATTTGTTGGTGACCAAGACAAAAAGTTTAACAAACAACCCAAAAACTAGCATCTGCTAATATGTAATGTTAAAATATATTCTGTTTAATTTCCTGTGCTTCTAGAATGTATGAAGACTTGAGAAGAATTCAGAGAAAGAGACAACCATTTTTTTTTTGTATATAAATGCAAACTGTTAAGTAATTTCTTTTTGCCACTCTCAGTGCTTAAATCATGAAAACAAATTCTTGGCCATGATGTAGAATTCCTTCTACTTGTATCTGAGATCTCTTTTATACTAGAGAAAAGAACATCATTTCCTGAATTATGTAGAAAATATGCACTTTCTCATGAAGTGAAAAAGTAAACTACACAAATAAGAACTCAGGTTTGCCCCTAAAATATACACGCACCTGATTACAATTCCATGTTGAAATGTTACTAGGAAGGTTTAAGGCACTAATAGTATAACAGATCTTGAAGAGATGGAAGTAGGACATTAAGTTACATTCACCCTAAAAAACTGGAAAACTCATTCCATAAGTAAAATTCCATGAAATGGATACTGACATGGGGAAATGAAAGGGGAAAATTTGATCATTTGAGAAACATTTTATTATAACCTTGAAGATAACTTTAAACATCATTAAATTAATTTTCCCTCTCCATTACCAAATTATACAAACCATTTTTCATATTTTTTCTATCTTTATACATTTAAGGATATTAACTGATAGTTTTTTATTGAAAATAAGGTAATAGTTCCCAATATGAAAACAAGAGTGCTGCTTACAGCTAATACCCTTTGGTTCTACCTACCTTCTGTTAGCCCCTCTACCTGGGGATTTCTCACTTAATCTGCAGTACATTAATAATTGACGAAGTCCACCTGGCACATTTTCCCCTATGGATCATGCCATTGGACTTATGTGTGTTCTTTACTACACCGGTTCAGTTTTGATGAGCACTCAGCTGGTGTTGGTGACCCGAGACTATAACTGACACCTGACTCATTGCATTGCACCAAGTGGTTTAGAACCAAAGAGGGGGCCAAGCACAGAAGTAACTGGATGAAGAGGTAGACCTAAGGATCTGTTTTGCTGATGCTTCCTGTGAAAGTAAATATTACAATGAAGCCACACTGTGAACATCAGTCATACCATGTCTTCACCTTCCAAATGCTGAGGCATCTGTTTTACTGCCACTTGTTTTTATGTACATAAATTCTGAGGCTTATGCTTTCGTACAGCCATGAATGCAGGTTTGATTCTTACTGTCAATACTTACTACATTGCTCTCCCTCTTGTCCTTCATCTTTTCACTACTGCTACATTTCAACATGTTGTGCTATTCTTCAAAGTTCAAGCTTGTCACCACCAGCTATGGCTTCACTATTTTGAAAAAGGACTTTAGTTTGGAGACAAAGACCATCCTTGTGTTTCTCGTAGGAATTCTGATCCCTTTACCTTTTAAAGCTGCAGGACTGGGCCTCTGACTACTGCAGTGATCAGAGCACAATCAGATAGCATCAGAAGTTCAAACCCTCTCCTTCAGCTTTCAACACTACAGTTCCTCCCAAAGGCTGGAAGCTGTCCTGTAAAACACATTCCTACTTCCCAGTATCCTCCTAAACTCTGTTAGGATTAATATTGCCATTTCAGAAGGGTTTTCCACCAAGTGTTTATGTGTTTGCTATTCTGGGTCACATTTTTTCCATTTTTGGCATTTCAGGCTGACACAACATAAAATTTTTACCTCTGTCACCAAAGCACAAAGTTACCAACATGACTGAGAAGAAAGAAAAGGGATCAGGATCTGTAACTTCTAAAGTATCATTTTTGTGTCTAGATTTTCACAAAGGGAAATGTAAGGAACTTCCTAAACTAAGTGTGCAAAGTTGGCTAATTTCTCCATGACACCAGCAACTGCCCACACTTTTCTTGAGTTGTAGAGGGCTGGGAGGGTCAGACAAAGCTGAAACTACCTCCTGTCAAGGCAGGAACGTGTACTCCTCTGCGCTTATGCATCCCTTCCACAAGTAGGTCAGGAGCAGGATTCTCTGTGCAGAGTGATACAGGAGGGCAGAGGAGAATGCATTGGTGTAAGCCTTAGCACTCCCCAGCCTTGTCTTTTCCTGGCTGGCTCCAGAATATTTGGAATATTTCAAAGACTTTCCCAATAAGACATTCCATGAACACAAGGATGTAAGAAACTACTTCTTTCTAGAAGCCTGTCATTTTTGGATGCACTTGAATTTTTCATCTGCATTTGAAAAGAGAGATTTTAAACTTTTATTTCCCCCCATTCTTTTTAAGGGCAGTGTATGCCTGGCATGCACTCTGTCTTTTGCAGTTCCCTTTTGGTCCCTAGAGATTTCAGAACTTCCACCCATCTCTGGACAGTGAAGACTTGGTAATCCCAGACAATCACCTTGCTTGCCAAGCCACATCAAAGTCAAAGTTAACATATAAGCACTCAACAAATTCTGTTATTGGGTCTTTATATGTGTAAGACCCTGTTGAATAACTTTCATTAGATCACATAACACCTGCCAAGACTTTCACACATCTTTGTTATGACTGCAGTGGTCAAACAGTGGAGAATATTGTGAATTTTAGTGAGCAGTGGTAAGGGAAGAGATCGATACAATTATGGTGACATTTGGGGTGGTTGAGGAAAACAGAGGCCGTGCATGAGTCATATCTGCTGCTGAAGAGGCTGGAGTGGAGAAGTTACAGAATTATTACATATGGTTTCTTTTAACTGTATAAAGTCTTCCATGACTGCATCCCAATTCTGCATTAAGACTTCAAAGACCACTTTCCCCAGAGAGAACTTAAAGCATTTCTAACTGTTGCTGGAACCAATACTCTATATAAGTAAAAGTACCCTGCTACTCCTGAATGATTCCCGCATTCATACCAGAATTGTCATACTTGAAGAGTGTAGATATTCCTGCCTAACTTCACACTTGTCTGCCAGACAAACCAAAGAGCATCCAACCATCCCTAATTGATTATGTTTGCCTTGTAATTTCTGGATTTTCAAACATCTTCACAATTGGGTTTGTTTCCACTAAAACTGTTTCAGTTGTACAAAAACTGAGGTTCTTTTTTCTCTAAAGTACAAGGAATATCATCAGAATAAAGGTTTTTGTACACATCCCTTACAAAGTCTACCATGTTGGCATCAATAAGAAGATACAATTTCCCTTGTAATTTTTTTTTCATTATATATCTCCTTTATGGAGAGAAGCTTAAGGGGTAGAAAGACTAGATGTTGATCAAAAAATGTGTGACGTGAGTACTTCACCATCTACCAGAGAAAGAGGCTCTGTCCTTTTAATTCTCTCTCTCTTTCAAACACACACACACACACACACACACACACACACACACACACACACACACACAAATCCATGGAAAAATCTTTATCATGATGCCTATAGTACTAGCTATTACTACTGTTGTTCTTTTGTGCCATTATTATTATTGTTATAGCTTTTTTAGGAAATCTATTCCACTATTCTTCCTGGAGAGGCAACTGTGTTTTACACTATCGATAGTGAATTATGACAAAGCAATCACATGCTTGTACTGAATAGATTTGTTTCATAGTAGGAAGCTATGAAAAAGGAAGTCTTGAATTTCTATAGAAATTTTATAAGCTATACATAGTCTTTTAAAGATACTTTACTCCTTATATTTCTTCCCTCTAGACTCTGTGGATTTGAACCATTCTATGATGAAAGAGGTGATCAGTTCATGTTCAGGAGAATTCTGAATTGTGAATATTACTTTATCTCCCCCTGGTGGGATGAAGTATCTCTAAATGCCAAGGACTTGGTAAGTATGACCAAAATAGAATGAAATAAGTTCATTTTAAACTAATTAATGGGAAATGACATTTTAAAAACATGCCACAATTCTATATTTCTATATAATTTTAAGATATTTTAATAAGAATGCACACTAATGCATTTTTCTTATTGGGAATGAAAAGTAGATATGTTTTGACACACCACTACCTGAGTTATCACAAATTACACGTACTGCAGTATTAATGAGTTTTTACTACCTGATAAATATAGAGCCATGGTTTTGTCAAACACTATGCTTGGTGAATCGAAACATCAATTACACAAAATTCTCTCTTCACATGACTTGTTTACCTAGATTTAGATGTATTTGAAATAAATTCCATTCAATTCCTTTAATTTCATTCAAACTTATTAAAATATCCTGACAATAACACAAGGCTCATTGTGCATTGTTGGCACCATAAATAAGTTCTGTTATACAAGCAGTGCATTTTGAGTGTGTGTTTTACATTGCTTCTCACATAAGCTAATATTGAAGCTCATTTGCATTCAGGAAACACCCTCTGAACCGTGCTTCTAAAAGGAGCACACTAACCTGTAATTGAAACATTCACCATTGATCACATAGAGAAAAACTACACAGAAATAACTAAAAGCTGACTTCTTGAATCCTAAAAGGTTAGGGGAATCTTATGAGTCATCTAGTCTTCCATCATTTTAAAGACAAATATGCTAAAGACAAGAGAGATATGACTGACCAACATCCCACAGCTTACCAGCAGAAAGACATTATTAGATCTGACTCAGGTCTCCAGACTTCCTCTCAGGACGCTTTTCCCTTCAAACATTTCTTCCTTTCCCACCATGTTCTTTTATGGAACAGATCTCTTGTGACCCATCACTTTCCAGTGAGACTGGGAAGGAAGGCCATGTGCGTGATGTGTGGGTGTCATCCACCACTCTTCAGTGTCTCTCCTCTCCATCTACTTCTTTCCTCCTCCACTACCACTATCCTAGTCCAAGCCAGCATCTTCTTCCACCTGGACCACTGCCACAATCTCCTTTCTGGCCTCCCTTTTTGCTGCTTTTTGTGCCCTTCTCAAGTACACTCTACGAATGGTCCAGAGGTCTTTGCCCCCTGCTAATCCAGTGTCTCTACCCCAAACACATACTCACTTGCAAATATTACAGAAAACAAGTGAAAAAAGAGCCGGATACTGTTTATTCCTTATTCGACTTGCCGCTTGATAGTGGTAGCTTTTCCAGATTCTTAGAGTTTGAAAGACCTTTGATTTTAAATCATCCAAAGGCCCTCATTTGGCCAAAGTCCAGAGAGAAACATTCTGAGGTGTTGGTCACAGGTGAGCTTTGAGATGATGCTGACCTGAGCTTGAATTCAAGGTCCATTGATGACAAATTGGCTGACCTTGGGTAAGTAGCTAAATCTTCGAGCTTCCTTCAACCCTTCCCTAGTGAATTGGAGCTAAGGCTTCCAAATTCTGAAGTTATTAAAAGGACTACCTGAGTTCTTAAGATATTTTACATGCATAGAAAATGCATTTATAAAGGAATTAGAGGCATAGCCAGGGCTCAAACACCCTCTTGATTCCAAATAGTCTCTCCCTCATATCAGGTCACCCCTTCTGATCTTAGAGCTAGGAATTATTTCACTGGTTGATCTTCCTGGCAATTTATTATCTGCCTATCTTCACAAGCAGAAGTAAGCCTCATAGAGTGGGTTGCCATTGGTTGGATTTAGTTCTTTAACCAGTGACTTCTTTACCTTGTTTCTAAAATGGCTTTTATTCCAGTTCTATGCTTATTTCTTTATGTATCCTCAAAAGATTAAAGAGAAAGAACAGTAAACCCCATGAGAATGATAGAATAGTAGTCATAAGAGCTGGGGTCCTAGCCCTTTTGTTTGCCATTTAATCTCCATGGAAAAAATGATGATGCATGAATGATTCTGTTACCATGGAGCTTTATTTTAAGTTCTGAATTCTAGGTGATTAGAAGGTGCAGCCTAGAATTATCCAGATGCTGGTTCTGCCTTCAAAGAGTGTCTAGTCTACAGGCAAGTCAGGACCTATTCCTTTGATTTCTACCAGAACATCTCAGTTAGTGTATAGCACTGTCTTCTGGGGTCCTTCTGCTACTGATACCTGAAGTCAGTCCTACTCACAGTAACACTTAGAGGCTAAAACACTTATTTTGAATATATACTTAGTGCTACTGTTAGGAAAATACAACAAGGCCTAGAAGTTCATATGCTGAGGGCAAGTTTATCTCACTATACATGATTCCCTGAGTCTATGTTTTTTTATACTTTCAGGTCAAAAAATTAATTGTCTTGGATCCTAAGAAACGACTGACTACATTTCAAGCCCTCCAGCACCCGTGGGTCACAGGTAAAGCAGCAAACTTTGTGCATATGGATACCGCTCAAAAGAAGCTCCAAGAATTCAATGCTCGGCGCAAGCTTAAGGTAAAGTAACATGTTTTGTTTTGTTTTTTAAAAAGATAATTTTTTTCTTCCTCTAGTACTATTCATTTCCTATGGCATCAAGGGAAAATTTTGTTTTGAAATCCCAACAATGCTGACATAAAGCCACTTACAGTTTTATTATATTCTCATAAATTCACTATTAATAAGCATGTTATATTTTGAATGTTACTTGCCAAATGTATTATTGCTTCTTCTCATCTAAATAAGCCATTGTTCAAGTAATTGATTTCTATTCAGAGAGTTATTTTCTTTCTGAATGTGTAAAAACTGGGAAAGAATATTTGGAGCTATATTTCATAATACAAATATTATATTTGGCAAAAAACTAAAATTTTTAAATAACACAGAAAATTATTCAGCAAAATATATCTATTTTATAGAATGCAGATGGAATAGAGATTAGTTGGTTCTCTATGACAATGATATTTAAACTAACTATCAAAGCAGAGAATTTTAGAGTTTCAAAATAAGGGTCTTAATCAGCCATTTTTCAAAGGAAAATAGAGATTAAATTAATCTGAAGAGCTCCATGGTCAAAATAATTTGAAATACCATGGGTTAAATAACATTGACTTAACCCAGCATTTCTCAAGTTAATTTAACCATGAAACTCTTTTATAACCACAATGCTTACCAACATCCATAGAACTAGTGTTCCATAAAACACATACTTTGGGAAATATTTTAAAATGTTAGTCTAATCGTCCTTGGGCAAACATATCTTACCAGGTTTTCAGTTGATTAAATATTCAGATTTGGGATTAAAGAGATTTTGTCTTTCATTCTCCAACGATCTTGGAAGATTGAACACTAACCTGTAAAACATACTCCATAAAACAAAGTAGGGTGGAATACTGATTTGGGGTTATAAATGGAGTAACACTTGACACTTCTCTGTTTCTAAACCAGGCAGCTGTGAAGGCTGTTGTGGCCTCTTCCCGGTTGGGAAGTGCCAGCAGTAGCCATGGCAGCATCCAGGAAAGCCACAAGGCCAACCAAGAACCATCTCCAACCCAGGATAGCAAAGAGGACAGCAAAACTCTTCCAGAAGCAAAGAAGATTCAAGGAGATGGGGCCCAAGTGGCAGCTGAGGATCAAGAGGCTGAGCTGATGAAGGTGCAGCCCTCAGAGGAGGTGAAAGATGCAGATGTGAATGCTGAGGAGGCCCTCCGGATGGTGCCCAAGGCACTGGAGGATGGGATCAAGGTGGATGACCCTGCAATAGAGAAGAGCCCAGGGGAGGAGCCACTGAAGACTGTGGAGGAAACAACAGATTCCAAAGAAGAACAGGAAAACCCTGTTGTGGGACTCGGAGTTCCACAGCAAGATGTGATCCTGCCAGAGTACTAAATCAGCTCCTTTCAGATCTGGAGACAAAGCAATGGCATTTTAGATACTTTGTCCTTCAGCAAGGAAGATGTGGAAGCATGATATGCATTACGTGATTTTGTTTTGAGGTGCAAAAAAAATACATATATGTCAGTTGGTAATCCTAACTTCAATGCATGTGACTGCTTTATAAATAATAGTGTTTTCTATGGCATGTAATGGATACCTAATACTGATGAGTTAAATTTGAAGTTAAAAGTAAACACAGTACTTTAACAACATACATTTTCAACAGCCAGTGGCACAAATTTGAAGTGAATTGTAGAAAATTGATTTTCCTTTGAAAACTTAGCCATTCCACATCCTCTGGATTTTCTCAAAGACAGTAATTCCTTTGAAATACCACTCAGTTAATTCTAGCTTGTGCTAGACATGTTTTCATGACTTTTCCAGTATTTACTTTTCATCATTAGTGTGTTCAGTTGTTTAAATGGGGATGGTTATAAGTGGTAGTTGTACAGTATGTGCAAAACAATTCCATTTGAGCATTGGAGCATTACAAGAGTCATGGATTCAGATGCCCCTAAAGCTTATGTGAAGAAAGTCTTTATTTTACTCTTTCTTACACGCTTGTATAATAGTAATCAAGATGCATTATCATAAAATTCTGCCATTTTGCAATCCTAGAGAAAGTATTTTACAAACTCATCCTAAGTTTCCTTTTCTGTTTTTTTCTTCACCCGCTCTCTAAGAAGATGCCCTACCCCTCAGGTGGACCAAACTTAGGTAAGAAAAAGAAATTTAGTGAAGAAAATGAGCTCAAACTGGAACTTAGACATGCAAAGATAAGACTGATTACTTTTCATTTTCCAGATAAAATTGTATTTGTGAATTTATACAACTTTTCAGATTTCAATGTTTTTATGGAATAACTATAGTTAACAAGTGTCAAATGTTTAGAAAACTATTCCACAGATTGGTGCCAAAATGTCTGAATAGAATGAGAACGTATCCATTACCAGATCATTCACTATTGCTTTTACAAGAGTAAGGAAACATTGTGTACAAAAGCAATTCCTCTCCAATTGATGGCTATCTAGATACACTATTTATGAACTAATTATGAAAAGCTAGTACATCTTTTTCTCATACTTGGAATGGAAGAGCCCATATTTTTGCAAAGTTTTAAAATTTTCCATGACAAGACACTTAGGGCAATGTAAAATTTTATGTATCTTAAAGAATAAGCAGAAACAACAATAAATTAAAAAAATACTGATTTAAAATAAGACTATTGAGAAGCTAGATCATTAGATCTAATAACTACATTTTGATTTTTTTCCTAGAAAAAAATATTTTTTCTTTGACTTTCATTGGAAGATTTTTTTCCCCCAAAAGAAATATCACTAAGTCCAAATATCTCAAACTTCTAGTTGAGGTGAAATAAACATTTTATCAAAATAATTGTTTATTACATTTTATAGGTTTTTTTGATTTTAATAAAGGATTATTTTTAAAGTTCAAAATACAGACAATAAAAATGAGATCCTTAAAAATAAGAGATCTTAAATTCTTTTGGCTCCTTCTTCAATTTGTTATTGAAAAGTAAAATCTCTGGGTTCTGTAGGCTATTGGATGTCAAGATACATTCTGCTTTCCAAGCATAAATCATCCACTATTCTCATGAGAAGGAGGCAAGGTAGGGGCTTCTTGTATTCCACAGTAAGAGATCTGACAGGTTGTTGATAGGGAGGGAAAGGCCCTAATAGAGTGATTCATCTGAGCTCAGGTAATTTTTGGTTTTGATTAATTTTTATTAATAGTGCTTACCCTCATCTTTCCTTCCTTCCTCTTTTAATTGTTCCCTCTCAGAATTCTCATTTTGGGTGTTATAAAGGGCTCATTATTTTCAACCTTTAAGAATGACTTCATTAAACATTAAGATTCTCATTTAAAAAGATCTACTTCCTGGTCAAATTTTCCCCATGAGACTTGAAAGGTACATATGGTAAGTGTCCCATATATGGAAAGAGGGAAAAGGAGGAAAAAGGGAGGGAAAGGGATCTTGTCAGCAAATGGAAGATCAGACGCATCATCCCTCCAGTCCACCCCATGTTTCCAAGGGAGGATGTCTATCATCCCAACACTGGGCTGTCTGCACAGGTTGGCCCTGTGGATTATACAAATGCCAATACACATTTTAAAAATTATTCACTTAAATTATGGCACATGGTGATATTCAAGAGTGTGAGGGTAATTTCTTCTCTTTTATACTATAAATCGAATTATCTAAATACCAATGGAAGTTCTAAATTTTGACTTTTAGGTTAAAGATTAAGTCCTGATAATACTTACATAGTAAGTCCTTTCAGTGGGAAATAAGTCAAATGTTCACAAAAATGGTCATTTCAGTCAAATTATTCAAAGATTTTATAGAGCTACAATGTAAGGATAGATTTCTGAAATACCTGCCAACATTTAAATTATTTGTTAAAATGAAATATATTATCTATCTCAAAGATTACTTAGCTAAATAAAGGTAGACAAAGAGAGTCTTAATTTTAAAAAATACTTCATAACATTACTCTTAGCAAGGAGTCATAAAGCAAAGTATTTTTTAATTTCAGCAAATAATAATACTTCTCATTTCAGAGCTGACAGTTATCATGTTACAGTATTGGCTTTTATTTTGAGAAGTTCAGCTACAAAACATAAATTAGATTCTTTTGCCATGAAGGGCAGTGTTGCATTATTTCCCCCATTTAAAATGTCTAATTATAATTCTACTGGTTTCCTCAAACTGTTAAGAGCTCATTTGTCAGGGCCACATAAATAAGATAGATATTAGAATAAGATGATTGTCAAGTTGTTGTCTAAAACAGTACTGCCTAATATAAATATAAGTCACACATGTAATTTTAAACTTTCCATTAGACACATTATAAAAAATAAAAAGAAATTAATAATATATTATAATCCAATCTATCTAAATTGTTCTGTGAATATATAGCCAATATTTAATGAAATACTTTGAATTATTTTTATACTAAGTTTTCAAAATCAGGAGTATATGTTAACACCTTTAGGATAGTTGTCCCCAGCCACATGTAGCTAGTGGATATTGTATAAGAAAATACTAGTCTAGAGTGCTTCCTATTTTAGCAACGTGACACTTGAATTTCTATGCTTGCATTTGAGCTGCCTCAGTTTTCCACAATGGTGAGTTGGTGAGAGGTCAAGAAGAGAATGTTTCAGAAATGTTATAGACTAAAATAATCAAAACCACCTATTGGCTATGCCAGCCCGTTCATGTGCCTCAGAAGTGTTTCCCAACATGATTTCAAAGAACAACACTTTCTTTGGCATTGCCGCGTTGGCATTTCTCTCTTTGAGCCCTGGAATAGGGTCTCCTGAGTACTGCCTTAGAGCCAGCAGTATTCTTGCTTACCAAAATCTACTTTGGTTCAACCATGCGTCCATGCTGAAGAAGGATATACACACAGAATCCAGTTTCGTAGGCTTGGACTAAGCTGGACACCATCCATATGTCACACAATCTGGCTTTCTAAAAATCTGCCTAACTGTACAAATTTGCATGATGGGCATTGGATGGTGATGGTGATATTATGCCACTTACCTCCTAAAGGAATGTGATCATTGGTTGATATTTTTGGATTTCCATGGAAGGGTTTAATGAGCACTGCCATTATACACATTCAAAAAAAAAAAAAAGCTGGGGGATTTTTTTTTTTTACACCCTGATTTTACAATGATTGTCAAGTTTCTATAGTCATTTTAGTGACAGATTTAATAAAAAAAAGGAGTACTTGGCCTCTTGTGGTAGCCTCAATTATGGAGTATGTTTACATATTTTGTAATTGAGATTGTTTAGGAATGCCCATTTCACATGCAAGGTAAGGAGTGGTGGGTTATCTCCATACTGATGATTGCAAGAAAGCCCTATTGTTTCATAATTCAGTGTTTATTGCATTGGTTGCAATAAAATTGGGGGGAAATTGCAATAAAATGCAGCTGGTTGCATTTAAAATTGGGGGGGAGTAAATGCCAGAAAAGCAAGTATAAAATTAATAAACCTTTTCTTCTGTTTCAGAATTATTCTTGCAAAGCCAATTCACAAGCATTTTTAAAAAGAGGCCAGGAAAGTAAATTGGCACTAGATTTTTCTTGGAGGTTGACTACATATATAATTGACAAATATACAGAGCAGAGTCAATTACATAATTATAATACCATTATGTAATTTACTTGTCATTGTAGAATATTCAGTCTGGCTATCTAGGTCTGTTTGAGACAAAAGTTTCCAGACAGTTACTTATGTAATAGGATTTCTAATATCCTTGTAATTATGGCCTATTAGGACATGTTCCAATTTCCTTAATGTTCATCATTGATATGTTCCTGATCAGGGTCATTGCTGACATTTAAGCATTTACCGGTTGAACACTGCTTGATGACTAGACTGTGTGTCTGCAGTGTTTTTTTTTTAATTTATGCACATATAATTCCAATATGGTATTATAACATTTGTAACTTCATGCTAAACAAAAATGTACCCAATAATTTCCTATTAAATTTTGTCCTTTTATACCCCTGACACACTCAGGGTGACTTTCTAGCTCCTTGACAAATACAGAAAAAGAGAGAAGAGAGAGAGGACTCCATAGAGCTATTAGCTATATACTCCAATGATAACAAATACAGCATTTCATCTTTCTACATTTTGACCTGTTAGAGGCAACTTTATTCTTGTGGCTATACCTAGGTCAAATAATGTAATCTCAGCCCAACCATTTTTATACTTATCTTGGAGAAGAATAACAAAATTAATTTATGATTGGTTAAAATTACTATTTTCATAAATACTCTGTGATATACTCAGAAGGCTTGGTTGCATGATTCTAGTTTCCTTCATGACTCAGTTTCTTTCCTGTCACCTGACCCAGTGTCCAGGTAAGGAAGGAAGGGTTCACAAGAATCAGGCTCTGCTCTGGAGAAGACTCCAAGCATCCAACCTGATTGAGGTCAAATTAGTGAAGTGGGAAAACATCGCTTCTCATCCCTTTAAATATTGGGATATTGCCCTTAACCAACAATAGTAAAATGAGATTCTACCAACCATTTGCTCTTTCCTTACATTTATTTACTCTTATTTGTCCCAATTCAGTGTTTTATCCTTGTGTCATCAGGCTCACCGTTTAGTACAGTGAGATCCTCTAAAGCCCTGGTAGGAGCATCCCAGACTAGATGAAGAAATATTGTTAAAAAAATTTAACAAAATTGTTACTCCAGAATTCTGTTTGAAGCTTTAAACACTGCAAAATAACATTTTTCTTCTAAAACTTACAGTATGGAATATTTGTGTCCAATCTGAACTTTGCTGATTCATTGGGTTAATATGATTAGAATAAATGATATTCAATCTTTAATCAAATATATTTTCCATTTAAAAGATTATTTTAAACTACTTGAGTACAATAAACCTTATATTACAATTTTTTGAAAGCTATTGTTTTCCCAAAGCTCTCGCCCAACTCTGATAATCGACTGAATGCTAAAAATTTACCATTTGTCTTTTTCTTGTAATATGGATAATAGCTCATCCCTGTTATAAAGGAAACAACTAAGTAGGATCATAAATTGAAAACTGTCATAATTGCCTCCTTTTAACCTGACCTGCTTTATATGCCTGCAATAAGCTAATTTACAGTTGCATAGATTACACAATAACATACTCATGATTAGATTACTGAGACCCTTAATTTCAATAATATTTTATGGTCATCTATAAACCAAAATAATGTTCTAGTATGTGCA